GAATCTCAACATTGAAACACGACACAAAAGCTTCCTTGAATTCAATTCAGAACACACTAACCATAAATCACCAACGAGGAAAAAAAAAACCAAATCTTTCCCTCATAACCAAAAGAAACTCAAGTGTTGGCCCAACTCTTAAAACATAATTAATCCTTGAATGACCACGCTCAAATGAAAACTCCTGAGAAGTCCTGAAGAGCCTAATGTTGACTTTCTTGATAGGAGGATGCTCAAGGATCTTAAAACCAAATGAATTAGAACCTACTGGTCACGTCCCGCAGTGCTTGTCTGTGAGAATAAGTACTATCTCCACTTGAAATTACTGCATCTGCACATGCTGGTTAGCCATACTAATCATACATACAATAAATAAACAAATAATAAAGGCAAGAAAATGAACACAAGGAAGCGGGATCTTATGGTCAAAAATCAGGGTGCGACAGTACGGTGGTCGAAGCAAAGTAGACGGTAGTAGACGACGGTTGCAGAAACGAGCACAATAAAGAAAGAAGTAAAAGTTCTGAATGAACGGGATCCTTTGATTTTTATAAGCAGGCTCCAGGCACGTGCGTGAACACACATGCGTAAATCATCATTATGACCCTAGCCTAGTCGTCATCACGCATTCAATGCAGCACACGGCTCGAGGCACACTTGGAATCCCTACTCTTGAGATCCTATCAACCGTTGGGCTCCCTGAGTCTTAAGATCCCCGACCCCACGACCACGAGCAAGTGGTCACCCAAACACGAGAAGACGTACGACGACTCTGCCCTGGGAGCATACCACCCTTAAGTTATCACTACCATGCTCAGTAGCAATAACTTGGGGGGCTACTGTTCCGGCATGGCCCAATGGCTGGGCATGGCCCAATCCACTTCTGCTCCCAGAATGGCCCAATTGCCTAAGTCCAACCTCGTTGGGGAAGAGTTTACCTTTATGCCCCTCAAACAGGGGAAGCTGACCTATTTACCTTTGGTCGCAACACTTCTCCCCTTCAATCTATGTCCGTCACGAACGGTTCCACCATCCAGAAACAACCAAGACACTTGTGCCTGTAACTATACCTCTTCCCGTCATAACGACTAGTTATGGGCACGTCTGCCCGTCTCAACAGATATTTCTGACAGTTATCTATTCTTCAGGAAACGGTTATCTCGCCTCGAAATTAGGGACCAATGGCCAAGCGTCGGGGGCATTATAAAAACCCTCTCACTTGAGAAGGTCAGGTATCCAATTTCTTACCTAGAAACACGTATTATGTGCGTGCTCGCTCTCTTGCCCGCTTTCTTACTTTAGCATCAGAGTGCCTTGTAGGTACACCCCTTTCTCCTCTTTCACACCTAGCATACAAACGTTCATCTTTGGCCCATCTCAGATTTTGATCGTTCGGTAAGATCATATGGGAAGATAAAGAAATCATAAAGACAATTTCCTACAATCTAGAAACATAAAAATAACATGTCATAAATATCATCGTTAGGAAATTTTGAGATTGAATTTTTTTGGCTAATTATCATAGTTTAAGAACATTGTAGAAAAATTTTAGAAATGAGAAATGGAAAATAAAATGTGAAAATTAAAAAGTTTAAAGGATGGAGAGATAACACAAGAAATTATAGAGTTTCGATAAAAAGAAAATGACATAAACCTCACCCCAAGATTTATTCTTTAGGGTTTCCAATAATCTAAAGAGCTTTTAGTAGACTGAACTCTTGAACCCCCTTATACAAGGAAAATAAAGTTTGTGTCTAACTTTAAACCTAATAAAAAACACAAAAAGAGGCGAGGAGTCTTCCTTCCAAATGATGGATCGAAACGGTTAGTCTTTTTTCCACAAGAAACTTGAAGTAGTTAGTCTTAAAGCTTCAAACCAATATTTTACACAGAATAATCTTGAACCTGTATGAAATTTTAATGCGGGGTTAACTCATGAGCCAATGAGATTTTATATTGGGTTGGTATCCAACCAAATGAAGTCTTTTGAATGGACTGAGCCTCTGAACCAAACCAATGACTTAGTAGCTAAATCACCAAAACCAAGCTTTTAATGAGTTTATCTTTGAACCTGGATAAAAATCCCTAAATGGATGAATTATTCAACAAAGATAAAAATAAAACATCCTTGATGAATTTACAATACTACCCTTTCATAATTACAAATTCCTCACTTGCAAAACAACTCTCAGTGAAAGTAGTACGACTAATTTGAGTGAGAGAAAGTAAATAAAAATATTTTAGAGAGAGTGATGAGTGAGGTATGAGAGCTCACTTTTATGGATTATGAAAATATGTGAGAAGAGACCTCTATTTATAGGCTAGAGATTGACACAAAAAAAGAAATTTTTTTGGGCCAGATGATGAGCCAATCGATTGTCATATGTACCAATCGACTGGTTGGCCTAAAAATAATTGTTTAGTTATTTTAAAAGTCAAGAAAAGACATATAGTCGTTACTGTTCATTAAGACGTTGTATTAAAAATTTAGGGCACGTTTTTGCACTAATCCAATTGATTTGATGAAACGCCAATTGGTTCGCAAGAATAAAAAATTGCCTTGAACTTTTCTTACCGTTCTCAAATCATCTAGCACGACTTCAAAAAAATTTTAGAAATATTTTCTTGATAAAAATTGGTTTAAGAAGTTGTTTAAGTGTGTGTGATTATTTGTATAACATTATGATAAAGCCTTTATGCTTTTACAATGTTATTCACTTAGAGGTGTCAATGTGTGCTTTCTCAGTTACGTCATTCTTGTAGACATTTGCTTGAGCTTTACTTTAAGATGAGACAAGTTATATTCCATTTAGGTGCCATCATCAAATAATCAATTTTATGAAACCCTATTGATCTAGTTGTATCCTATTGATATGATTGTATCTTTAACCGCTTAATACTTGACTTTAGTTGTTGTCATCAAGGACCAATTGTCATCATCAAAAGTATGTTCATCTTTAGGCAAGCTTTTTTAATCAATAACTTGCAAAATATAATTCTACAAAATCATCATATAGTAATAGGCTCTCTCTAAAAGCTATAAATTGACACATGACAGACAACTAAGGAAACAATTTTACAAAAATCTCATCATTTCCTGAAGAAGATGGGTGAGAATATTAAAATTCCAAATGAGAAGATAAGTTTCTATGTGACTCTCTTACTTTTTTCTGATTTTTTCTCTTTTTTTTTTCTTCTGGTTTTCTCACTATCTCTTGCTCTCAATATCTCTCTATCTCGATGTCTCTCTATCTCTATCCCTCTATGTTTTCCTCCCCCCTTTGTTTGCAGCTCCCTCTCTTTTTATCTCAGCACATTAGGGTTTTCCCTCCTTTCAAAACTTCATATTTTCATTGAGAAAGGCATCTTACCACTTTCTTCGTGCCACTCACTTTCTTTCAATTTTCATGTATGTTGCCTTCCTGTATTTTGCTGCTACACTTACCTAGGCTTTTTTTTTTCTGCTGCACTTTTTGCTCTCAAATCTTGTACTCATTTATTGGCTAGTGTTTGGACTGCCCTTGTGGTCAATGTTACTACCTTTGATAGCATTTTTTGCAATTCTGATATTTGATATGTAAATGTATCACCATGAGTTTATTCCCTTGGTTTTGTGACATGAAATGGTTTTGTGATATGAAGCAATTTGTCACTTCTTGTATGAGATTGTTTTGGATCACATTAACATTGCCCATGCATAGTCTTGATCTTTAAATATTCCAATATTGAGTTAACTCTTAAATATTTTCGTTGAGCATAATGAGGAACATGTGAAATTGATGGCGCATGAAGGGTACCATAGCATAGAATTAATTAGAAACTTGAATTAAGATTAGAAATGGCTTAATTTTCTAAGCATTACTTAGGGTTAGGAACTTTGTAACAAATGTGACATTCTTGTAATGTCATGAAATTTCTCTTTGTAATCTAATCTTGAATTCATGAATCTTGCATTTGGAATAATGGACCTCCCTTATGCCATTGAAAATGAATGAAGTCTTGAATTATGAACTTGTGATCTTGACTTATGTCTAACAAATTTGAACTCCACTTGATCAAGAATTTGAAACAAAATTGGATGAAGAAATCTTGAATTAGGCCTTGCACTTCATGTTCATTAGGAATATTGATCTTGAATATCCCAATATTTTCAAGTAACTTCTCCTTGAAGGAATCTACATGAGTAGACTTTCCAACTTGAATCAAACCTTAGATGATGAACATTTTCTTCCATGTAACCCATGATAAGCAATTTGCCTTATTTGGAACGAATCAACCCGATCTTTACCTTGTGAACCCACATGCTTGATATACAATAGAACAATGTATAACGAATGTAGGGTATGAAAGGTTAAAGGTGAAAATGAGGGTGTGACAGACGTTACCGCACCTAAATCGGAAGCACAATGGAATGATAATGATAAGAAATTGTGGTCACATGATTGGAAGGTATAAAATATTCTCACATCTGCACTTGGTGTTGATGAATATTATCGTGTCTCTCTTTGCGAGACTTCAAAAGCTATGCAGGACGCATTAGAAGATTCCCATGAGAGAACTAATGAGGCCAAATAAGTTAGGATCAATATCTTAAATCAAGAGAATGACCTATTTCGCATGGAGCATGATGAAACCATTGCGGACATGCGAAAGCGGTTCATACACCTTATCAATCGATTGAACACTCTAAATAAACATATTTCTAATTATATTGCTACTAATAAAATTTTAAGATGTCTTAATAGTAAATAACAAATGAAAAGAAATTTGTAATAAAAATACAAATATGAAAAGAGAACACAATCATATAAGAGAAAATGAAAAGAAGATAATATCTGAAATCACTCTTTATTGGTTAATTGTGTCAAAATCATGTGTTGAAATTGCATTTCTCATGATTTTTTTTACTAATCTCAATACAAAGTAAAAGATGCATGGCTTGTATTAAATTTTCTCGTGTGCAAGCCAAAGAGGAAGTAGTAGTAGATCTTGCTAGATGTTCAAGAGTCTGTGACGAATGGCCTGTATTTCTTTAGGTCAACCACAATGCTAGCAATTGAGCCAAGAGCAGCCAAAGTTGATACAATAAGGCATACAAGAATTATTATTTTCAACCAAATCCATTTCCTACTCCATTTTGGAACCTTCTTCTGCACGATATACATCTCCACCGGATAATAAACCGTTAATGGCCAAAACCCTATTGCTCCAATAAATCCCAAAACATCATTAAAAAAAGGAATCAACATTGCAACAAAAGTAGCTATGATCACAAAAAATGTTCTCCAAACTAATCTAAATAAATTTAGATTGTAACCACCAAAAACTCTGAAATTCACTTTTGTTTTAGGCCATCGTTTTGCTGCCCATTTCTCTACAAAGGCATACACAGGTTGAGCATATACTTGGTATGATCCAACAACGTGAATCACGATGGTTGCATTCGCTAAATCAATGACCCAAGATGGATTGTACGTACTAAATCCAGTGAGCAAGTTCCCTGGTGCTTGTTCTCCAAATGCAGCATAGCCCATACAACCACAAAGCATGTAAAATGCGGTAGTCACAGTAATACTTAAAGTTGTTGCCTTCTTCATTGTTTTTACTTCAGATGGTGGATTTTTTATGGTATCCTGAATTTCGATGAGAATTTGAGCATATGAATAAGCAAAGGCTATGTTACCAAGAGCTTGGAAAATTCCCCATGCTTTTTCTGTTGTTGACACATTTCCACTGCTCCCTCCAGTTACACTACCCTTGAATGTACCGTTTACTATTAAGAATCGGTTAAACAAAAATCGTGAATAAATGATTTTATTCTATGGTGTATAAATATGTATATAGTATATATAAAACTGTAGGAATGTAACCTGCAACTTGGGAGATTGCAAGAAAGCAGCCGATTATGGAATAGGCAAAAGACATGATTGCTGCTACTACTGAAAGCAACCATGTTTCATGAAACTCAGGAATTTGAGAAGTGAAAATTTGAATTACTCCAAAACCGATAATGTATGGATTGTTTGATATCAAACATGGGTCTTTTCCTCCCGATTTACGAAGGCATCTGATCTTTTTTATTTCCCTGTTATACAAAGCGATTTTACATTAAAACAATACATCAATATCTTTTCATTTTTATATTACTCTCACATTTTCATACTAAAAGTTTTAAAAATTCACAGATTGAATTGATTGATTAATTCTTTATGACAAGATTATTAATTCTTTTACTTAAAACTCTCTGTTTAATCTATCATATGTGTAAGTCAATAAAAAAATCTTAGACTTTCTCTCTTTAAAGTATAATTTTACATTCTACAAAATATTTATAACTTGAATAATTGTTTTCCTATGTTTGGAATTGTTTAGATGATAATTGGTAGAAGATAGTTTTAGAGAGTAGTTTAGAAAGAAGGTTTTGTGATTAATTTCTTGGATGATGATTTACAATGTAGCAAATGCCTATTTATAGGCTCAAGTCACCAACCTTTCAATGGTGGTGAATATTCTAGAGTTCTCATGATAGGTTATTATCATGATAAATCTAGATTTTTCTATCTTTGCCATATACTTATATATCTAGATTATTCTACCATATTCATACACCTTATATTTTCTAGGATATTCTATATTTTCTTACATATTATATTTAAGAACTCTCTAGAAATTTGTAGCAAATTTAACACTCCTCCTTGATACAAATTTCTTTGACTCCAAGCATAGCTCGTAGCTCTTCAAATCTTGGTCTCGGCAACGCCTTCGTGAATATGTCTGCAATTTGATCTTCTGTTCTGCAGTAGTCGAGTTTGATCTCTTTAGTTGCTTCAGCTTCTCTTATAAAGTGATACTTGATTGCTATATGTTTTGTTCTACTGTGATGCACTGGATTCTTTGCCATTGTAATTGCTGATTTGTTGTCGCAATTGATTTTAGTTGGCTGATCCTGTTTTTCTCCCATGTCTTCAAGTATCCTACGAAGCCATATAGCCTGACTCGTTGCTTCAGTAGCTGCCACGTACTCTGCTTCTGCTGTGGATTGTGCAATCGTAGCTTGCTTCTTCGACGCCCAAGAGAAAATTCCTGATCCGAGTGAGAAAGCATAGCCAGAGGTGCTCTTCATGTCATCTACCGAACCTGCCCAATCACTATCGGTGTAGCCAAGTAATCCTGAGTTAGTTTCGGTAGAGTACCATATACCTAACTCTTTTGTTCCTTGTAGATATCTCAAAATTCTTTTTCCTGCTCCAAAGTGTATTTGACTTGGACTTTGCATGAATCTTGATAGAAGACTTGTAGCATACATTATGTCTGACCGCGTAGCTGTCAAATATAGGAGGCTTCCAATTAAACTTTGATATTTGGATGCATCACCTTCTGGTGCTCCATCATTCTTTTGTAGTTTCTCATTTGTTATGAGTGGGGTAGCGACAGGTTTGCAACCGTACATCTTGAATTTCTTAAGTAAGCCTTCTGTGTATTTCTTTTGTGAGATGAATATCCCTTCATTTCTTTGGCTTACCTTTATACCGAGGAAGTAACTCATCAAACCAAGGTCGGTCATCTCAAAGGTCTTCATCATGTCTTCTTTGAACTCCGTTATCATCTTAGTATTATTTCCCGTGTAGATAAGGTCATCTACATATAGAGAGAGTAAGAGAGTGTACTGATCTTGAGACTTGATGTATAGTGTGGGCTCACTCTTGCTTCTCCTAAATCCTTGATCCATGAAATATTGATCGATTCTGCTATACCATGCTCGAGGAGCTTGCTTCAAACCGTATAGTGCTTTTCTTAGTCTTAACATTTTGCTCTCTTTGCCTTCAGATATGAATCCTTGTGGCTGCTCCACATAGATCTCTTCTTCAAGTACACCATTGAGGAAGGCAGATTTGACATCCAGTTAATGTATACTCCATCCTTTTTGTGCCGCAAGAGCTATTAGAGCTCTAATGGTATCAAGACGAGCTACTGGTGCAAATGTCTCATTGTAGTCAACCCCAGGTTGTTGTGAGTAACCCTTAGCTAGTAGCCCCGCCTTATGTTTCTGTATGGTGCCATCAGGATTGAGCTTTGTCTTATAGACCCACTTAACCCCAATGATATCTTTTCCATGGGGACGATTTACTAACTCCCATGTGTTATTTTTCTCGATCATCTTTATCTCTTCTTCCATTGCCTTTACCCATGCTTCATGCTTTGATGCTTCTTCAAAGCTTCCAGGTTCGAGTATGGCCATGTTGCAGGTTTCATATATGTCTCTCAAAGATCTTACTCGTCTTGGAGTAGACTCTGGTGATGATAGGTCTTGAACTTGTTGTTGTGGTGGAGGTGAAGAAGGTTCACCTAGGACTTATTCCTCAGCTTCTTCTTGAGGTAGTTGAGTGGGTATAAGAACATTCTTCTCCACTTTTTCTTCATCCCAATTCCAAGAAGCATTCTCATCAACTTCAACATCTCGACTGATGATGAGTTTTTTTGTTTGCAAGTTATATACACGGTAGCCTTTAGATATTGTGCTATACCCCAAGAAGATACCTCGTATAGTCTTGTCTTCAAGCTTATGCCTCTTCACGTCTGGAATATGAATGTAGCATATAGATCCAAAGACCCTTAGGTGCTTTGCTGATGGCTTCTTCCCGTTCCAAGCCTCAATTGGAGTCTTATCTTGTACAGATTTAGTTGGACATCTGTTGAGTAAGTAAACAGTAGTGTAGACTGCTTCAGCCCAGAATGTGTTAGGTAGTCGCTTCTCTTTGAGCATCGATCTAGCCATCTCCATAACTGTGCGATTCTTTCTCTCAGACACACCATTTTGCTGAGGAGAATATGCGACTGTAAGTTGTCGATCTATGCCTTCATCCTCACAAAATCTATCAAACTCGCAGGATGTGTACTCTTTGTCGCGATCACTTCTTAGTACTTTTATCCGCTTTCCACTTTGATTTTCAACAAGGGCCTTGAACCTTTTGAATACTCCAAAAACTTCTGATTTTTCTTTCAAGAAATAGACCCATGTCATTCTAGAGAAGTCATCAATGAAGAGTATGAAGTACCTGTTGTTCTCGTGTGATGGCGTCCTCATCGGTCCATAGACGTCAGTATGTATAAGCTCCAACAGATCTTTTTCTCTCCATGCTCCGCTTGTTGAGAATGGAAATAGGTGTTGCTTACCAAGGAGACATCCTTCACACACTTCATTGTTATCCTTTATGCTTGGAAGATCTCTCATCATGTTCTTATCATGTAACAACTTCAAGGCATGTGTGTTGAAGTGGCCAAATCTTCGATGCCAAAGCCATGAATCATCAACTTGTACCTTCATGGCAATGCTAGTTGTATATTTTAAATTTAGCGAGAAGCTTCTATTGCTCTTATTCATCTTCACTTCGACTATCTCGGCCCTTTTATTCTTGTTGTCTAAGATTTTGCATACACCTCCTTCAAAGTGAAGTGTGTAGCCTTTCTCCATCATTTGGCCAATGCTTAGAAGATTTTCTTTTAGGCTGGGAACTAGTAAGACATCATGGATGAGTCGCGCACCTTTATCTGTCTCTACCACGACGGTGCCGTTTCCTTTTGACTCAACCACACTTCCATTTCCTAGTCGAACTTTGACTTTGACTGACTCATCAATGCTTTTGAAAATAGTCTTATCCTTGGCCATGTGATTGCTACATCCACTATCCAAGTACCAACTTTCTCCTTTTTCTTTGATTGATTCTTGAGTGGCATAGAACATACATTGTTCTTGATCATGCTCCTCTGCGATATTAGCTTGATGCCTATTTTTGTTGCGACAGTGTTTCTCTATGTGCCCGAATTTCTTGCAATGATTGCATTGTGGCATATTACGGTACCAACAATTTTTCTCCTCGTGGCCTAGTCGTTTGCATATATTGTATGGAATATTTTTATCTGAATTGTTCTTTTGGAAATTTCTAGGAACTTCTCTTCTTTTGGAAGTTTCACCATAATTTTTCTTTCCTCCATTTTCTTTATTTTGGGACTTAAATTTGAGCTTTGACTAAAAGACATTTTCAAGTGTATCTTCTTTATGCCTATGTAGTCTTTGCTCATATGCTTCAAGAGAGCCCACTAGTTCTGTCACTGATAGAGTAGACAGATCTTTGGTTTCCTCTATTGTTGTCACGATTGGGTCAAATTTTGGGGGCATAGTAATTAGAATTTTCTCAACAATTTTCTTGTCAAGAATATGCTCCCCAAAAGCTCTCATTTGATTAACTATTTCTTTAACTTTAGAATAGTAATCTTTAACTGTCTCAGACTCCTTCATCTTCAATAGTTCAAAATCTCTTCTTAGAGATTGAAGTTTGACAGCACGTACCTTGTCATTTCCTTGAAACTCCTCCTACAACGTCTTCCACGCTTCTTTTTCAGTCTTAGCTCCCATAATTCTTGGAAAAATTGCATTAGTCACCGCTTGTTGCAAGGTGAACAATGCCTTTGAATTTTTCTGTTTATTTTTCTTCAACTCTTTTTCTTGAGCTGCATTTAGAGCTGAAGTATCTATGGGAGCGATGAAGCCTTCTTCTACTATGTCCCATAAATCTTGAGATGAAAAATATGTCTCCATTTTAACACGCCAGAAATCATAATTTTCACTATTGAAAATAGGGACACAAATAGTTGATGATTGAGTAGTGTTATCCATGGCTTAAAAAAAATATTGTAGTGGGTTAATAGTATAAGGGAAATATTTTGAAGTACTTTGGAGGATTTTGAAATGGTAGGTATTAGTATAACTACGCCCAATTTATGACCGAACGTAGCTTTGATGCCACTGTTTGGAATTGTTTAGATGATAGTTGGTAGAAGATAGTTTTAGAGAGTAGTTTAGAAAGAAGGTTTTATGATTAATTTCTTGGATGATGATTTACAATGTAGCAAATGCCTATTTATAGGCTCAAGTCATCAACCTTTCAATGGTGGTGAATATTCTAGAGTTCTCATGATAGGTTATTATCATGATAAATCTAGATTTTTCTATCTTTGCCATATGCTTATATATCTAGATTATTCTACCATATTCATACACCTTATAGTTTCTAGGATGTTCTATATTTTCTTACCTATTATATTTAAGAGCTCTCTAAAAATTTGTAGCAAATTTAACACCCTAAAAGTATAAATAATATAATTAAACTCACATCATGCTAATGGCAGCTGCAATTGTATATCCTGTTGCAGTGCAGCAAAGACATATATACTGAATTAATCCAGAGACTGTGTAATGGTAGCTGCCTGCAAAAAAAAACATTTTAAAAAAATAAATAATTTATTAAAAAGTCAACTATATTTGTCCATCCAGTTTTTTTTTTTTAAATCTTGGTATTTGATTTTGCTATAGGCCAACCAATCGACCAATCTCACCATCCATTTGCAAGGATCTCGAACAAAACTCTATATTACTTTGATCTAACAATCTCACCATCCATTTGTAAGGATCTCAAACAAAACTTTATATTACTTTGATCTAACACGAGAATTGTTTATATTTAACAGAATTCGAATTTTAGACGTTGAGTGAAGGAATATTAACAGGTAAAATATAAAACAAATAAATTTAAGACTAGAGGAAATATGTGTTAATTTACCAAGAATGTTTTGAACTGCATCGACGTAAGTATAGCTTCTCTTCCCGAAAAGAGGATCACCATAACGATAACATTCAGTTAGCATTGATGAAGTATACAAAGTGATGAAGCTGAAAAGGATCATCACCGTAGGACCAGCAATCCAACCCAGTTGTGCTATAGCCCATGCCAAAGACAGTACTCCAGATCCAATCACAGCTGTTATTATATGAGAGCTTGTTGTCCAAATGGTTCCTTTTTCATATGCCACAAAATAAAGTTCAACTTTCGTCACTAAAAAACATACATAACAAAAACAATTAACGTAGAATTATATGCATGACTATAAATAAATTAACTTGTACCTGTTCTTCTAGGACGGCCATCATCGTCCAAGTATTCGAAATTAGTTTGTGAAGGGTTACCTTCCATTGGCTTCAATTACTTCAAATAATTAGAAGCTTTTTTTTCTTACTATAGGTTTACACACGTTATACCATTTATTTATTTATAGTAATTCAAATTCAAATTCAAATACGAATACAAATGCAAAGAATTCTGCGTTGACTAATGTGGACAAACACGGTAAACGTATAAATGATAACTATATTATACTAACTGTTGCAAAAATAAATACATCTAACTATGAACAACATTATACTATTATGGAATTTATTGATATTGATATTCAGAATAAATAAGTGCGTCCTATTAATATAATTTACTTACTAATGGTGGGAAACAATTCCAAGTATCTATGTCAAATACTTATAAATATAAAAGGTATAATATAATTTACCGATAAGATCAATATAATATAAAGTGTAAGGGATATAGTTTAAATTAAATAAAAAAATAGTATAACATATTTTTTTATCGAATAACTATGCAATTTTAACATAATTGAATAAAATTATTATGAATATGTGATAGATATTTATTAGAGAATTAGTAGCTATCCAAATTTGAGAAAATATATGCCTCCTAAGAAGAGCAAAATGTTGGAATTTTTCTAAATATTTTTATAATGGTCCAAGTGCAAATTCTATATGTCCATTTGGATTAGTGGTGATGAATTACTACTCTTTAGAAGGATATAAATAGTGAGTAATTGGTTGATTTTAATGTTATAAATATGTGATAGGTGAATGTAATTATCATTAACGAATTTAATGAAAAAAATTAGTTTTAGATTAATTTAACATCTTTTGGTGATTGCTTTTATTTCACTTCAGCATCCAAAAACGACATTCATAACAAATGGTGCTCTGATTGGCACGATTTCCTCTCTCTATAATTATTGTCATCAATGCTTTCATGATCCTACAATTATCAACACTCATGCTTTGATAAAACCCACAACCTAAATAGCATCACCTCAAAACTTCACTTCTTACACTGAGTGCATTCTTAGTAAATCTTGAAATCTCAACAAACTTGCCTCCAAACAATGTCCAATTGTGTTAACACGCTTTTCTCCATTAATGTTGACCTATCATATTCACGCACCATTTTCTCAACATCAGCCGACAAACAGTCCCTCCATCAACACTCATTTCCAATATTCACATTCTTCATTATTCTTGAAACTAATCGTGAATTGTAAGAGCATAAAGGAAAAATCACAACATATTGTCACTACTGAAGGCGACATGTCCATCATTTCTGATATCATCACTAAGTTCATTAAGGGACAAACTGTAAATATTGCTCAACCTCCAAATAGAGTCATTGCTCCACAGCAAGAATTTGACAATTGTGTGGTTGAATCCAAAACCTCTTAAAACAACCACAACAATGTCATAGGAATTTTTGGGACAAGAAAGAGATACAAAGAAGCCACAAATAAATGACAACTTTTAAACCATACAATTATTGTTGTTATCGCCTATGAAAGCGAATTATCTGTTTCTGCAAACGCTGAGGCATCAAATATGCACACAGTCGTAGAAAATGAGCAAACGAAACCTCTTCCAAACCTAATACCAACCATTCACGCTCTTACCCTCAACGATTCCGATTTCATTCTCTTTTTAATAATAGCCATGGCAGAAACACTGTCACTTCCACCTCCTTCGAAATCGACCCTCTTAATCTTCGATCTAGAGCACTCTCCCTTCAAATTATATCAAATCACCCTTATTTCCTTTGAAATCGACGATGGTAGGCTTGGTTTCTGTTCTTCAACGCCGATTTCAGGTGACTATCGAAGTACACCACCCCTTGTGGAGATTTTAACTTTCCACCCCAACACAATATATACCTAGCACCCTCTGTTTACCATAGATTTTGGTAAACAACCGTCAATCTTTCAAAATTGATACTTTGGTTACTTTCAAGATCGACTAGATTGATCATAGGATATATGTGCATAATTTTCTTGAGTTTTTTTTATAATGAGTATTTCGACACTAATTTGTAACTTTAAAATAATACAAGAATAATTTATAAAATACAAAGAAATAAAGAATAATTTCGACTGATTTAAAATGTATGATAATAACATTAATATAAATGACTTGATATTGGGTGAAAATCAACAAACTTAGATACTTTGAGTAATATTGAGTTTTGTAAACAACTGAACACGTCGAATCCTAATACTAAGACTCCTATTTATACTAAATTAACAGTAACGGTAACGAACGGTCTCCTTTTCAGAGAATGACACGTTTTCGCTTGCATGTGTTACACCATTCACAGGCTTCCATGCGTCCTTCAAGAAACTAATAAGGCTAAAGACAATTAATTAGCCTTATTTCAAATCATCTCGTCAAAATCGTTATCAAAATAGGTCCAAAATATTATAAGTCCTAGAATGATACCATCCTATAGAAGTGGAAATCCATTCGCCAATGTTCAGTTGAAATCCCAAAATCTTCTTAAAATGAACTCGACTTACTTGCTTTAAATATTTCTTTCAACTTTTCTTGACATCTTAAATCATTCTTAGCGTAGAAATTTCAGCTAACAAATTATCCCCAAAAAATGTCTTTTCGACAAAATGGAGAAAAATGACATTTTTTGAATACTTCAACACTAGAGTTATTTCACTACTGTGACGTCATGGTCATTATGACCTTTTTTTCTCAAACGTCCTGAGATGTGCAACATCCAGACAATAATCATGATCCTTAGTTTGTAGAACAACCGTGGCACCTAAAAGAGTAATCGCTCATCCAACCTCTGAAACATGAAGCTTCAAAGTTTGGAAGAATTTCAAAACACTTGGAATTTTTCAAGGTTAGCTTTGTTCCTTCAATTTTCAGCCAACTTCAAGGATAATTTTTACCATGGTCCCTTTTGATTCAAGAGTTTCTTCAAACAAAAAAGTTGTAGTACATGTTTAGGGTTTTCTAAAAAGTATAAGAACTCCTTCATAGCATATGTGAGTTAGGATTTTCGAAGGAAAGAAGTTGAGGTCCAAGAACTTGAAACACAAGGTTCTAAATTGGTGTGACATGATGCAAACCCATTTGTTTGCTGCAAATTTTGGTGTCTTAAGTTGTTTACTTACAAGATATCACTTGAGCAGATCCTTACACGAAATTTGGGAGCTTAAACCTTTGAATAAAAGCTTGGACCAAGTGTTTATGTCATTTTTGGCATAAAGGTTCCACTTCCATTTTTGAAAAGCATGGTCTTTCCCCTCATTTCAGCATAGAGTCACTCCCAAAGCCTCCCAAGTACATATTCATCTGCAGAAGCATGCCCAAGATCAACCAGTTTGTACTTGATGCCTTGAACAACACCAAAACCATCATCACATTTAGTTTGAAAATGCAAATGGATGGTTAGCAAGAAGTTGGATTTTGACCACACTTCAAATCTCCCACTTTCCCTATAAATACCAAGTCAATCTCCATTGCAAATCATCAGAAAATAATCTAAGAGAACTCCTCAAACCACCTTGCATCCTTAGAACCAACAGTTTTTGCAAAACAACTAAAACTTGCAAGAACATCCCAAACACCTATCTCACTCGTTCCTTTCTCAAAAAAAATTCACAAATCATCTCTACATACTCTATGGAACTCATTCAATCCATCAAATAGGTTCTGAAACACCCCAAACACATCATACCATTTCAACCTCCATTGTAGCAAGAGGCATCGTATTCTATTCCTCAGGCTTTTTCCAGGCTATCTAGCCATTCCAACAAGTTCTAAAAGGCTCAAGTAAGCTTTAAGGATCAATATTTTATAACTGTGATAGCTGAGAAGAAACCTTGGATTTTCTCCAAGAAGTAAGATTTCTGACCTTGGAAATCTTCATATTCATGCACTATTTTAGTGTCATTTAAATAACAAAGATGTAATGTATGATCTTCTTTGTTGTCTTGGACAATCATTGGCTTTATCTTGTTTGAATATTATATGTTGTAACATGATGAATGTTTTTTATATTAATCTGTTGATGAGTGTTGTATGTTCTATACATTGAGTTTTAGGTCTAACAAATGATATATTTGTGTTCCTTGTGAAAAATATCTTGATTTTGGTCTTTACATTATTTGAAATGGTTGAGAGATGGAGGAGTTAGAAGAGGAAGAAATTCTGGTCATGGAAATGTGTTTAGGGCACGAAAAGAGAGAAATAATAGAGGTCGGGTTGAGGAAGATGAAGTTGAGTGGGATCTGAGGCGGAAGTGGCTAGGCGTGATGTGGTGCTGAGGTGGTCGTTTTGGTGTGTTCTTAAAATAAAAAAGAATTGGAAAAAGTCTTGTCAAAAGATTAAGCTCATCATTGTTGTTCGTTGCAAGCTTCTATGATGTCAAGCAATGTTAGCGAGCAAAAAAATGTTAATTTTGAAACTGCTAATGCAACACGCATGCTTGTCTTGAAGTTTTTTATTTATTTATTGAAAAGATATAACAATAATTTGTGACTGAATCACTAGTTAGGATAGGAAATTAATTAATTTTACAAAGCCAACACAACTTTTGAGCTTAGATCATAGGAGTCAGGAAACGTTATCTTGTCGCGTACGCTTTCAAAATAAATCCTGCTTCAATTAGGTCTTTTGAGGGTTGTATCGTGGTTTGGTTCACGGCTTAAGAAACAAAGGATATAAGGCTCAAAGTTTATTTGTGCTCACTCATTCTTCGCGATGTTCTCCAATCCTACCTCCAGTTAACCTGACACGAGCACTCATCTCTTAAGAGGAGTTTTGATATGGTTGAGAAACCAATGAAGCTTTGGACATGGCAGTCACTCACCTTTTTTGCTTTTGGTGTTTGATCACACGACTTTGTTATTTATTGAGGATTTTTCTTGGTGATCCTTTGTTTTTGCTTTTCGTGTTTTTTTTATATTCATTTTTTCCTTTATTCCCTAATTTTTTCCTGGACAGAGTCTTTGGATTTGAATTTGAAGTCCAGCGGGATGCCTCAATTTTGCTTAAGTATCCTTCATAGGTTTTGACTTAGCGGGT